AAAATTTATTTGTTCTGTATAATAATTTATATTTTGATAGTTGAGGGATTAAAATTGAAATAGTTATTGTAAAGTCCCAAATTTTTTTTTATAAAATAGAATTTATTTATTCTATGTGCTACATTTTAATATTTTGGGAAGTGATGGACTAAAGTGTATATATATTGAATTATATTTTATTTGGGCCAAATATTTAAATGTTGATAGGGTAATGATAAATATATCAATTTTGGGCTTGTTGGACAGCTCAAAATTAGTCATGTATATTAGGCTCGGGCAAAATTGTTTAATCGGATAAGTTAGACCTAAAATATTACAGTTTATAGAAATGGTTATTAATTGATTTTGTTCTTTTTTTTAATATGGTGTGTGGCCACGTGTAGTGTATAGTAGTATTATATAATGCAAATTATTCATCTTTATCCTATCAAATAAGTTAATTGATTTTAAGATTGATAGTAATCAAAATCTGTTCCTTTTATTTACCATATTTGTTTTAGCAAATTGAAGATTTAATTATGCATGAGTTAATTGGCAATATACAATTTAGGGAAACTAACTGAACTGACGTCCTTTTTTTTGGAAGACCACTTTTTGTTGAAATCAAAATTTTATATGTTTGTTTGGTTTGAAACCCTTCCAATCTTGCCACGTATTACTAGTTGAAATTTATGAGTGTTTTCTTATATGGTTATGACTTGATTGATGGGAAGATAAAGTAGCATTATTCTAAAATTTTATTTAATTGGGTTGAACGACGCGTGTGTAGCATATTGATGGTAAGATATTAGTTAAATTTTATTTGGAGGCNATATTTGTTTTAGCAAATTGAAGATTTAATTATGCATGAGTTAATTGGCAATATACAATTTAGGGAAACTAACTGAACCGACGTCCTTTTTTTTTGGAAGAGCACTTTTTGTTGAAATCAAAATTTTATATGTTTGTTTGGTTTGAAACCCTTCCAATCTTGCCACGTATTACTAGTTGAAATTTATGAGTGTTTTCTTATATGGTTATGACTTCATTGATGGGAAGATAAAGTAGCATTATTCTAAAATTTTATTTAATTGGGCTGAACGACGCGTGTGTAGCATATTGATGGTAAGATATTAGTTAAATTTTATTTGGAGGCAACACGTGGGTGTAATTATAGGGCAAGAAAGCCAATTGCTTTGATTTTGGGATTTGACAAGAATAGTCTACCACGTGGCGGAA